TTTTTCATTAAAAAGTTTGTTTAAAAAAAAAAAAAAAAAAGCCAATCATCACATCACTACTGTATGCTACTCAGAGACAAGCAACAGTCGATTCTTCTTTGACTTTGTTTAGAAATATTATAATTGAGTTTTTAAAAATTATTGTTATGAAACAACTAGCAGAACTGATGACAAGCCTTACTAGTATCCAATATTAGTGATATTTGTTTAAAACCAAGAGCAGCTTCACCTCATATCCACGGTAATCCACCTCCACATCATCTCCATACACGTTAAGCTCCATGTTCTTATGACTGAACACAGTGGCTGGTTTGGGGTTTCTATAGTTACAGGCCATATCATCGGCTAGCATCAGCACAATGTGACTGGGAAAGCAGAGCAAACACATCTAATCAGAGCAGACAGGAAGACTTTTACTGCGGCTAGAGACACAAATATCACTGCCTCATCATGACAAAAGAGCACACATGCAACTATCTCTGGTGAACACAAGTAAAGTAATGGAAAAACAGTGGGTAAAGACTATTTAAATAATGTGTCACTGTGTAATGAGGATGTCAGGAGGGAAAATCGTTGATGTACAATAGATTGGTCCAATTATATTGTGGTTCAACAAGCCACTGTTTGTGTCTAGAGAAAATGCCATAGAGCATTATTGAAGTAAATGAGAAAGTTTACCTGTCTGGAATGCCCAGTCTCTTTACACTTCTGTATACTGACAGTGTGTTTGCCACATGCCGATAATTAAACCAGAATCTAGATGTGCAGACCTAGACATAAACATGATTATAAGACTCCAAAAATCATGAAAAAGCAGCAATTAAGAAAGAATGTTGGCAAGTTGTTATTCTAAATACATAAATATAAATACACATAAAATCATAGTATACCTCTAAATTAGCTTTTTTCTTTTTTATTATTGCCATTATTATATTATATTGCTATTTTAATATATCTTTATGTACCCTCAATTACATTAATGCTAACTGGCAATAAATACCTGTGTCCGTTTTAACCAATATTTTTACAGAAACTACAACAGCAGCCTAAAACAATGGTTAAACAGCATTAACCAACAGTCTGTGATGTCTTGTTGTTTCGCCCATTTAGATTCAATGTATTTTTATTTTACTTTTAGTTTAAGTAATTTTACTTGAAATTTTTACGTTTGGTTTTCATCTAATATGAAAATTTTATTCAGCTTCATTTTAATGATCAAAAACTATTCTTAATTTAGTTTTAGTTAACAATAACACTACTGACTATAATAGAGTGGTTCTTAAACAGGGGGTCAGGGCCCACTAGGGGGACTCAGAAAACCTCTAAGGAGGCCTCAAGATGACTTCAATTTATTTTAAATAAGACAAATAAGATAATTTTAAATAAACCAAGGTAAGGCATTAAAACAGTTTAAAAAACAAGCTATTTCTTATTTTAATCCACCCCCTTTTTCCTTTGAAGAAGACTGTACCACTGTTTAAAAAAATTTGATTTTAAAAGTGTGATTTCTAAACCCAGAAATGTCATCATGTAAATTAATAAATTCATGTAACTCCATGGGAAATTGTAAAAATTTTATGAATATACTTTTTAATAGTTATGCCAAGATCTAAAATATTTTAGCAAGCAGAAATTGTGAATAAAAAATCCTTAAAACAGGGCTGTGCAATTAATCGCATGCGATTGTCATGCGCATCTCGTCAGTAAAGTCGGTTCCGTGATTAGTAGTAAATAGCCATCACCTGCTTTCAGATGGAGCAGCATTTAATACACAGAGCCATAGTTCACTGACAAGCTAGGCAATATCGCGTTCATAATCGAATGCGATTCATCTGCGATTATGAACGCGATATTGCCTAATTGTCAGAGAACTACGGCTCTGTGTAGTAAATGCCGCTCCATCTGTAAGCAGGTGATGGAGATTTACTACTAATCACAGAACCGGCTTTACTGACGAGATGCGCATGACAATCACATGCGATTAATTGCACAGTCCTACCTTAAAATAAATGTTCCTTATCTTAAATCACGAACAACTTGGATAAGGTATTTGAATATTAATGTCTTTGTCACAGGATAAATCAAGTTTACCATACTGAGAAACATACAGTAAAATTCAAATAGTGTTTTTATTTTTCAAATAATTATGCCAGATTGAATATTCGACTATTTGTGCACAACCCTAATTTATTCAAACTTACCAGGACTGCCCAGTTGTTGGTATGACCACTGCTAAAAAACTGCCCAGCTTTGTTCTAAAAAATAGAATGCATTATTAATGTAATGAAACTCTCAATAGTACAAAATGTGAAAATTCTCTTTTTCAGGTAAATCCAAGGGTAAAAGAAATGTAAACTGAGACTATACATAGAGTCTTTGCCCATTTTAGCCACTGTATAAAAGCTTATGAAAGACACTTAAATTATAGAAGTAATATGATGGCAAAGTGCTAACAGCAAAAATTGCCTCCACATGTGTTGAATGAATGCTGGCAGTATGCACTTAATAGAGAAAAATTACAAGGGGCATGAAATTATTGCTTTGAAATGCATTTGCAGGAGGTCATGTGACATTAAACATCATGCACAGGTTTTGAACTGGTGAAGCTAGTTAGACAAAGAAGCCAGATATTCATAAATATCTTGTGTATATTTTGTGTTGTGAAAAAATATTTGATTTACCCTATATGATATATTCTAAGACAGTGCTTTAAAAGCTCAGGGGTACTTTGAAAGACAAACGCCTTCTACAGTAATAAAATTAGCAAATTGGTAAAATAACCGACTGAATTATAATTCAAATAAAAATTAATGTGTTCATCAGTAGTTGATGCAATGTTGAAACACTTCTTAAACCTGAAATTATTTTTGTAAATCCAGTGGTCAAATGCTGTGTAGCCACCTGACTAATGACTAATCTATGTGTGAATATCCACAAAACTGGAAGACTTTCTGAGTGTATATAAGCGGTAGGCTATTTTAGAAAGGACAATTTAAAAGATGACAAATAGGAATTAGGGAGAACCAATAAATTATGAATAAATTATTGCTATTGTCTGATGTAATGTAAATATGTAATCATGTAATCCATTAAAAAAGTAACTGTATTCTGATTATGAGTATTTTAAAATGTAAATTAATCTAATTACAAGTACTTCATTTTTGGAATCTGAATATGTAATCCAGATTACATGAGTCAGTTACTACCCAGCTCTCTCTCTCTCTCTCTCTCTCTCTCTCTCTCTCTCTATATATATATATATATGTATATATATATTTCTTATTTGTAAGTCGCTTTGGATAAAAGCGTCTGCTAAATGACTAAAAGTAAAAGTAAAATATATATGTGTGTGTGTGTGTGTGTGTGTGTGTAATTGTACATATATAGTTGCAACTAAAGAACATTTACAATAGATTAACTTCATAATGTAATATCAAATAACACACTAAAGTTAAAACTATAATCAAGTACCTAACATGTGCTTTTACCATTATTATATAATCTGCAAATAAAAAAAGTTTTTAAATATATACTTTTATAATTTGAAGTACACTACATATGCACATACAGTTAAGCTTCTTGTGTTTTTTATACACTTCTTTTCTTTTCTTTTTTTTTTACAAGGAAAGCACATTTAAAAAGTGTGTCACAACAAGATGATAGATTTAAAATTATGCCATTCTCTGAAGAAAAAGACAAATTTTACATATTTTATATTGTTTGACATTTATATTGTGACTATATTGCCATTTTGTTGACATTTATGCCTATATTGTGAAACTGATGTGCTTGTGTGGATGTTGAAACATATCAAATATGATGTAAGATGACACAAGATGATGAAAAGGCATTTTGTCTTGCACAGAGTGAATAATAATAACAATAATAAGATACTTTACACTTGCTCATTTATTAAAAAAGCTTCACAAATGTGCCAGTAAGATTACATGTTTGTGCTTTGTTGGCATCTGAACAGAAAACTGTAAGTCAAGATAATGAGCAACTGATTAAACAAAGCTAACACCTAGAGAAATGTGATGTTTAGAACAAACTGGCCATCATAATGTAACACACAGGTTGCCTAACTAGACAGTACAGGTGCAATTTTGGGCATTACAGGTGTTAGCGTATGTATGTATGTATCTATCTATCTATCTATCTATCTATATACAGTGTA